ATGCATGTTATTATTTATGGTATACTTTCATAACAAATCAAAGATGGATCACTTCTCTGTACTAAAATTCAACTTTTTCATTAGATGCTTCTACGCAATTAGGGTGGCGATCACTCAGCCCTGCAATAGAAAGTCAGTTTTTCGTTTTTGTTTCAGAATCTAACAATCCTATTAGTATTTCTCCCTAATTACTACAGTAAAATACAATGATATCAAATTAATTGCTTAACAGTTCAGTGTTTTACCTAAGATAGATTCCTTAGTTTACCAAATTATAGCACCAGGCCAAATGAAAAGTTTAACTTGTGCCAAAAATAAATTTTGCAATGTACCAGGAGTATGTGAAATAAAACAAAGCTGGATTAACATATGCAAAATAGAACTCCCTAGTCAAGTAACGAAAACAGCTCCAGGCCTTCTTTGACTATAACTCTTTCTTGACTCTGGGCAGCATACAAAATAAAGCTCATAATATAATGCAAATTAAAACAATGCCATATGGCAATGCATCTGGAAAAAAAATTCATGCCAATCATATTTAGAAAATACAATTCAGAAAACAGTGACTTTAATCACTAGGACTGAAAACATCTTTAAAGGTTTAAATAACTGCTGTTGCCCTTCTCACTTAAATAGTCATGCTGTCAGACTTCAACTGTGTTTTTGACAGAGGCTATGCAATATAAGCTAAAGGAGAAATGCATTATTTCCTTTCACTGGGTGAAATAACTGAAGTTGAGAAATAAGAAAAATGCCCCCTTTCCCTGACAGATGTTCTTATTAAAGGATATAACACTATCAGAATATAGGATGTATATAGGAAAAGTATTTACTACATTTAACTGACGCTACAGGTAAAATATTTCATAAAAAGAAAAGCAGGGGGGAAATAAAACATGTTTTAAATAGGAAAAGATCCAGTGATTTTCAAAAGCTGTTGTGAAAGAAGAAGACAAGACTAATCATAAGGAAGTGGGTAATTATCAATTTAGACCAAGTTTAAATAGAATGGCATTTCAATGACCAAAAGAAAGGAAGAAGAATGAAAACAATAGACTTTCCAGTTACAGCAATGGCTGCAAAACTTGGATACTGACTAAGAGTGAGAGATAAAAGATAGATGCTTTCAAATTATAAATTTGGGGATGGCCATTAGGAATGCTATAGCTAAAAAGGGAAAAAAGTCAATCAGCCTGCTCCCTTGAGACAATAATCCACAAGCAGAAACTCACATCTTTGGGGGTATGTGATACAAGCAGATAATGGATGAGGAAAAATGAATATGCTTGGCAAGGCTTCAGGAAATAAAGGAAGGGAACAGATTGCACTGCTTGGGAGGAAGATCTTGTCAGTTAAATTATATAATACTTCACTTATTAGTACAATACAATCCCATCAAATGTTATGATGAGGTCACAGTAAAGCATATAGGTATGCTTTATTCAAAAAGATAAAACTAATTATATACTGGTTGTCAACAGATTTTTCAATCCAACTAAAATCCATTTAAATGTGCTACATTTTCTTTTGTATTTTAAACCCTTTTTAAAGTATAGGCTCAAAGCTATATACTTAATATTTGAAAATGAAATACTTCAGGAAATATGAGCATTTTTCTGCATATTCTCCAGAGAGTGACAAATTATGTGTATATGAAATATAAAGTCTAAAAGGCAACATTCATCAGTGCTGTGAACTGTAGCTGCAATACAAAAATCACAATATTCTGTCAGAGACAGGTATATCTTCAGTAATCAAATATTACCTCAAAATCCCAGTATAAATATATGTACTGTACCCATACCTATTTTCATTCAATACTTAATATTTTAGAATGTTAAATAGCCCTCAATCCATAATTTAAATATGCAGAGCAGGTGATCTAGATTTAAACCCTAGCACCACCACCATTTCTGACTTTCCATCAGAGATGTTCATAATTTGTTAAGATCACAATTCTTGGAGGGTTTTCATTCCATTCAACTACAGTATATGATCACATTCTTATTGCAAATCATACTAACCAAACACTCAAGGATTGAAAAGGCAGGCCAAAGCCCATTGTTCTTTTATATCCATTTTACAAAGCTTGAAGAGAGTTTATACATTTGTAATCACTAATCTTACATAACATACAAGACAACAGTTTATTGACAGTATGCATAAATTGAATGCTGTGCATGGAACTGGCATAATTATATGACCAGATCAATTGTACATGCACTGAATAGAATGTGTGCATGTATTTATTAATGTCTACAGCTATACTTCATGTTTACTTTTAGAGTTAACTGCAAAACATTTGTCATAAACAATAGTGGCAAATGTTCACACTAGGGAAAACTGCAGATTTGTTTTGTTTAATAATGATTAATTTGAAGAATAATTCTATAAAAAAAACTGACAAAAATACATCTAACTTTCCAGTCAAGAAAGATTGGCAGCCATAGATATATTTTTGCTGAGTAATCTATTGTGGCTTAGAGATTTGGATAGTCATTTTACAAGGAAAATGTAAGATAATTTACAGCACAATTTACTGCATAGCAGAATCAGTATTTTTCCCTTTCATTGCCAAATTTGCTTTCTTGGCTAGGCACTGTTTCTGAAATTAGTATTTTAATCAACTTTGAAGCTCATGGATACTGTATTTGAGCTCAAAGTTCAAACTATTGCTAGAGCTATGCAAGAGATACAGAAAAGTCCTGGCTGCTTTCTAGTTGGTAGTCCAGAGTTTTGTAGTCCAAATATGGCCACACACATATATGTAAACATGCAGATACACAGGCACACTTATATGGTTTTCCTCAATGGAACTGCAGCTACATGGAGGGAGGTATGCAGTGGGGTACCCCAGGGCCCTATTTAAGGCCCAGTACTGTTCAACATCTTCATCAATAATTTGGACGAGGGGATAGAGGGAGAACTCATCAAATTTGCAGACTACACCAAGCTAGCAGGAATAACCAACACTCCAGAAGATCGGCTTAAGATACAGAAGGATCTTGACAGAGTTGAACATTGGGCACCATCTAACAAAATGAGATTCAATGGTGGAAAAAGTAAGGGTCTTCTGCATTTAGGAAAGAAAAACAAAATACACAGGTACAGTATATATGGTACCTTGCTCAATAATGGTGACTATGAGAGGAATCTTGGAGTCCTAGTGGACAGTCACTTAAATATGAGCCAGCAGTGTGCTGCAGCTGCCAAAAAAAAGCCAACATAGTTCTAGGCTGCACAAAGAGAGGGATAGAATCAAGATCACATGAAGTGTTAACACCACTTTATAATGCCTTGGTAAGGCCACACTTGGAATACTGCATCCAATTTTGGTCGCGACAATGTAAAAAAAATGTCGAAACTCTAGAAAAAGTGCAGAGAAGAGCAACAAAGATGAGTAGGGGACTGGAGGCTAAAACATATAAAGAACGGTTGCTGGAATTGGGTATGTCTAGTTTGATGAAAAGAAGGACTAGGGGTGACATGATAGCAGTCTTCCAATATCTCAGGGGCTTCCACAAAGAAGAGGGGGTCAAGCTATTATCCAAAGCACCTGAGGGCAGGACAAGAAGGTGGAAACTAATCAAGGAGAGAAGCAATTTAGAACTAAGGAGAGATTTCCTGGCAGTTAGAACAATTAATCAGTGGAACAACTTGCCTCAGAAATTGTCTGAAGTGGTGTAAGGTTTCCTGCCTAAGCAGGGGGTTGGATTAGAAGACCTCCAATGTCCCTTTCAACTCTGTTATTCTATTCTATTCATACTGAAGGATGTGTCCCAATAAACAACAGTAGCAAACAAATAGAGCACAAATCTTGTAAGCCTGTCTTTCTGTGACAAAAAGAACAGCTAAACAACCTGAAGCAACACAGGCATATCCTGTGGCAAGCTGGAAGAAACAACCACTAGGCCAGGATCCAATCTTAGCAACCCTGCACTACAGTAGACTTTTACAAAGAAAGAGCCTAATTTCAGACACATTTACAGTCCTTCATAGTGTCAACAAGGATACAGAGGACTAGCCCTGAACTCCCTTATTAAAGTCTTGGAAATAAACATACTTGTAAAGGAAGGTAAAATTATTTAACTATCAGCCTTAGTTATAGAGAGGCATATAGAGAAACACAGATATTATCATGTAATGTTTTTCCGTTGTGTGAGATTTATGATTCTTGGTACAAATTCTGGCTCAGGACTCAACTGACTCGGGAAAAATGTTCTACATTTTAACTCAACCACCTGTTCCTCTTTTCTGTCTTGTGGGATGCTTGCTATCCTTTGTATGAGAACAAACAAGCAAATGCGTTCAGTATTTCCTGCACGCCAGGACAGCTTGTATAAAGCATGTGCTCCTTATTTATTACAAAACGATCAATAAAGATTAATTATAAATGACTGAACTGAATCTTAACAATTAATTGCAGGGTTGCGCGTTTCCTGCCAACGTTTCCTGCTGCAGGGAGCTCATCCAGGCTATTAGAACTTATTTGATCACTCATTACACACGTTGGACTGGCCACCCTCACTATGATTACGTAGTTTTGCCGCACCCTAAAGACCAATATATTTTATCTTTGCCTCGAAGGAGCTCAGTTTTGTTTATTTCGGGTCTTCTTTCTGGGAACCGTTCCCGTTCAAAGGGCAATATGTAAACCATTGCATGTAAAACAGACCTTGCGTCTAATTCTAGGGAATTCAGCGATCAAGGTTCAAGGTGCACTGCAGGGTGTACACACAGTGTACATAACGGGAAGGGGTTTCTCTAGGCGCGCTTCCTGTTTCGAGGGCGACCAGACGTAACACGCAAATCCGGACATCGTAATGGGCGAGCTCGCCCCACCAGCCCCTTTCCTTCGCTAAGCCCGCCCACTAAGCGCGAGGGGAACCCGGCCCTGCACTTTTGCCTGGCGCGTGGGGGCGCGTGGGGGGGGGGGGTGAAAAGGAGGAGGAAGGACGCAGGCTCCCGCCGCGCATGCCCACTGGTTCGGCCTTGGCAGAGGAAGGCGGGCGGGGAAGGATGCTGAGGCCGGCGCCGTGGCTGCCAAACGGGAGCGAGCCGGGGATCCTGCGTCGGGCAGCCGCGAGGGGAGCAGCGTCGCGGTCATGCCCAGCTCCCCGTCGGCGCCTCCCGGGCCGGACCCGGAGGAGCACTACGACTTCCTCTTCAAGCTGGTGCTGATCGGCGATGCCAGCGTGGGCAAGACGTGCCTGGTGCAGCGCTTCAAGACCGGGGCCTTCTCTGAGCGCCAGGGCAACACCATCGGCGTGGACTTCACCATGAAGAGCCTGGAGATCCAGGGCAAGCGGGTCAAGGTAGGCAAGCGGAGGTGGGGACGGGCGGGAAAGCGGCCTCGCAGCCATCCCGGTCTTATCGCCCTTCGCTCGCGGCGCGGGCCGGGCAGGTAACAGGTGGTGCGGACAGAACAACAGCTGCGGTCGCGGGAGAAGAAGCTGGCATGGCAACGTCACTTTCCCCGGGAGACCTCAAAGGCGCCCAACGTCTTCCCCAGCCCACCTGCTGACATCCTGGCTGGGCCGAGAGAATTCATCGCCAAGCCAGAATTTGCCGAAGACTTGGTGCTTGCAGGGTTGCAGCTCGGATACCTTTTTAAACCATTCAAAGAAGTAGAATTTGACTCCCACTCTCACTCCCCCACTTGCTGATTTCTGAAAGTGAAAAAAGCATTTTAGGTAGTGCAAGGTAAAAATGCCTCAAAGGATATTCTTTGCCTTTCTTGGAGGTGCTTTAAAAATGTTTGAAAAGCCTCTTAAGCTTCTTGGAGAACCTCAGGGGTGGATAGTCCAGGCCTATTCAAATAAAACTCCCCATAGGAGCTTTGTTGTAATGTTTGAAAATAAGATGAGATTAGGAGTTCTTTTGTAATTGAGTATGTTGATACACAGTTCCTGAACTTGGCTTGGAACCTGTTTGGGTATGAAAGAGTCTACTTGGCATTTGATAAGAGTCCACTTTGCTTACTATTACTAATGAGTAATAGTAAGTAAAAACTAGGGACAAACTTTGAGAGAAACTTATTTACTTAACTTAGGAGAGGGCTCCACATTTCCTAACTTTAAAGATTCGGTTGATTTTGTACAGAAATTAGGTTGCAATCCCTGTGTGAGTAGTTTTGTCACGACAGGGCCTGTAACTCATGTAAATATTCTGTTTTTGTGCTAAAGCATAGATGGACAGTCTGGTTTAAGTATCATTCCAGAACAGAATAACAGAGTTGGGAGTTTGGAGGTCCTCTAGTCCAGCCCTCTGCTCTGTACAGCCCGGTAAAATTAACTGGAGTAGGCAGTTTTTTGTAATGCTTTTTTAAATCAGGCTAATTTGAATTTTTTAAAAAAAATCTTCCTTTTTCATATCTCTATGTATGTATATATTGTAGACATCTAGATGTGAATACACTAAATACACCCCCTTCACTATTAAGGGTAGATTTTATAAAAATGCCCACACTTCAGGAAAGTGTTAGCATTTACCCTCAGTACAATAAACATGTTTTATTGTAGAGAACATGAATGCCTTTATTTTTAAAATAATTGTCATGCTTTGTAATCTGGATCAACAACATTTCATGTACACAAATAAAGGGGAGGAACTTAGATATCCCAGTAGGATTTTGTAATTTGACCTGAAAAAGTTATTGGCATTGTGTCAAAGGGTTTTAAGATTTTAATTGACTTTACAGACATGTTGTGCAACTCCTTTATTATATGACACAGCACACCAAAGAGGGCTATAAACCTGTTCACAGTTCGGGAAAATAAATAGAATGCTTTACCAGACATTGTTTTTGAAAGTAATCAAGAAATTTTCCAAAGACAATGTGTACAATATTTTATAATTAGTTATTGCTAAAGTATAGATTATTCCAGGTAGGTTAAAATTTAGTTATTTATATTCATATGGCAGTTGCTTAATTCTCTTTTATTACAATCCTAATGTTGTAATAAGATATATAGATATTAACATATATTTAAAATAAAGCCTTTAAATATACTGATTTAATAATAAAATATTGAAAGAATCAGTGTTGAAAAGGCCCATTTAAACCATTGAATCCAATCCCTGCTCTGCACAGGAATCCAAACTGAAATATCTGTGACATCTGCTTGAATACATATTTTGAAGGAAAGTTCATCTTTTGGAATTCTGCTTTTGAACTATTTCCAATAGGATATTTTCCCTAGTATTCAGCCAGAATCTGATTTTGTGTAATTAATTTAAACCATCATTTTTGTACCACCTTTTCGGATGATAGAGAGTAGCTCTTGGCTTACATCTCTGTGACTCAAATTCAGAATATAACCCAAAAGTCATGCCCAGAAAGTACACAAAAAACATTTCAGTGGGTTCAACTGTTGATTATGAATTGTCTAAAAACAGAGTTTTCTAAGCAAGAAGGGGTTACAGGTAGTCCTTACATAGTGATCACAATTGCTTCTCCATTGACTCAGCCTGAAGTCGGGTGTGAGGCATTTCAACTGCAATTATCATAAATGCCTACCAGTTATGCCTAAGTGCCCAAATGTCAGTTATGTGACTAGAGGGATGTTGTGACTATCATAAATACGAAGGCTGGTAGTAAAGTTACTTTTTAAGCATCTTTGAAACCTAAAATGGTCACTAAGTGCAAGATGTGCCTGTATACAGACTTGGAAATACCTTAGTCCTACACATCTAAAATAAGGATTCAAAGTTATTTGATATAAACCTCTTTATTTGAAGCTCAATGGGTTCAACTGTTGATTATGAATTGTCTAAAAACAGAGTTTTCTAAGCAAGAGCACATTAAGAAATACATATCATAGAGCAACTCTAATGTTTCAAATATGCATAATTTCAAATATGATATCTTTGCCTGATTTCGTATGTAAGTTATACAAGTTTGTAGTGTGATCTTGGGTCTTTATCCGGAAGCTGAGGAAATGTGGCAAAAGCCCCTCCGGAATATTCAACAATTGCTCTTGAAGCTTTTAGCTTTGGAACTTAATGTCATAGGGAGAGCCGTTTGTGTCTTCTATAGAGACAGCTTCTAAGAAGAAAATAAGTCAGATTGCCCTGCTCTATGGACTTATCATTAGTACCTCTTGAACTACAGCACTTTTCATGCTGATTTTGATAATTGGTTTCAAAGCAAAACATTCAGCCACAACACTTTTATGTCAACATTTGCACACACTCATTGTGTGTTTGCTTTTAGCTAAGTTAATAGGCATTATAATATTAGGATAGTTAGCAAGGAGATGAAACTCATTAATATTTCCATATTTGCTATTACAGCGTAAAATAGAGCAGATTTAAAAATTATTTTGCATAGCACATTAAGAAATACAAATTCATAGAGCAACTCTAATGTTTCAAATATGCATAATTTCAAATATGATATCTGTGCCTGATTTCGTATGTAAGTTATACAAGTTTGTAGTGTGATTTTTGTCAAAACTATTAGAACAGTTATATTTTATTATTTTGAAATCTATGAATACAGAAAAAGCTGCTCACATGTTTGCTTGTAAGAATTGGAACAAGCTGGAGTCTTAATTTTTTTCAAAAGCTTACTGTCCAGAGGGCAGAACTTTATTTTTGCCTCAATAATATATTATGGTTTAAGTAATTAAAATTTATTCCTTGAAAGAAGATACAGGAAGAAATACCTATATACAATATCTATATACACGTGGTCCTCACTTACCAACTACCTCATTCAAAGAGTGTTCGAAGTTACGACAATGCTAAAACAGTAGGCTTAAAATTGGTTCTCAAACTGGCAGCTGCCACAGCATCCCACAATCACTTAATCACCATTTGTGATCTTCACAGATGGCTTCCATCAAACAGAGTCAATGGGGAAGTCAGCAGGAAGTTGCAAATCACAGACACGTATGTCATGCTTAATAATCATAGTAGAGCTGACATCAGCCTGGCATTGTCCCAGTTGCAGTCAGCAAGTGAAGACTATCAGTACTTATAATTATATGGACCGTTATTAGTAAGAAATGTTAAGCAAGACTTTAAATGTAACTGGTTATCAATGTATACAGTCACCATGTATTTATTGTTTTATAACTTTCATAAATCATTCATTCCAGAGGCTTGTCTAGATCATGAGTGTCAAACTTAAGGTGTCATGTTGCCATTACGTGAAGTTTTGCAACGTTTTCCCCCTTGGGTTGGGTGTGGCCTGCGCGTGACACATCTGGCCCACAGTTTGCCAGTTTGACACCCCAGTTCTACATTGATAAGTCAATAATACAATATGAATAATAATAATAATAATCCAATAAAATACAATTAAACCTATAACAAATCCAGTGTCTCCAGTGGCAAAGATATTACTGCTAATCTTGATTCTTATTCTACAGTATTTCAACACAATCCGCATTTTCAAAATATTTCACTCAATTCATACAAACCAAAGACAGTGTTTTCTAATGCCAGTCCTAAAGTAAATCATACAAAAATCTAAAGCAATATTTTTGTTTAAGTTATGCCCTTTTGCTGGACTTGAAGTTAAGTATATTTCAGAGGTGTGCACCTCCACACATAATGTGGCCAACTTTGAAAACAAATGTGTCTTCCAGGTATCAGTACTACAGCAGTGAAGAGCAGTTCTGTGATATAAAAAAGAAATTCAACTGCACTTGTGGTCAGAGGTCAGCTCTCTGTACATCACAGTTATAATTGCCCTAACTTTCCTGCCTTTGTGGGAAGAGCCATGGCTGCTTATCCATTATTGCTCTCTTAAACTTGCTGCTACACTTTACCTTGCCAAATAGATTGGGCATGTTGGCTGTGGCAACCCAGCGATAACATATATCAACTGGGTGTGGAATTATTTTGTACTCTGTTTATATGTTTTTCAGTCAGTATGCATAAGAAAATGTCATCTGATAAGTACATCCAATAACTTATGATTGAAGAACTTACAGAACTTACTTTTTTTTTACTTCCTTTAGTTACAGATCTGGGACACGGCTGGTCAAGAAAGGTTTCGGACTATAACCCAGAGTTACTATCGAAGCGCCAATGGAGCTATTCTAGCCTATGACATTAGTAAGAGAGGCTCTTTCCAGTCCATTCCTCGCTGGATCGAGGATGTGAGGAAATATGCAGGCTCCAATATAGTACAGTTGCTAATTGGTGAGTGTGGAAAGATCTACTTGGTAAGCCAAAAATAAAAAAGAATTGTGTCTCTGCATTAGGAGACAATAGCAACTTTTACAAAGGCATTTCCTCATTTCCAAAAATAAAAACATTTCTTTCTCATTTGAATTACTGATTGAATTACTGCATAATAATTGATAAAGCAGGAAAAAAATTACTTTCAAGCTCTTCTACGATTTACTTTGTTTACTTCAGCCTTTTATTGTTGTCTCCATATTCCATGCTTTAAGGATCCTTATTTAACAGTATATTTTGAACAAGTCAAGCCACTCTGTGAGTCTGTGCTTTCCTATCTTTTGGGACCAGGGGTGGGATGCTACTGGTTCTGCCCGGTTCTATAGAACCGGTAGCTCTGAAGAGCAGCAGACACTGAACCGGTTCTGTGTTTGCTGCTGTTTGGGCCACCCGCCCGCCTGGGCTCTTATCTGTCCTTTATTTCCTGCTTTTTCAACCTCAGCTGCTTTGCGCGGTACAGCTGAGGTTGAAAAAAACAGGAAAAAAGAGGCTTTTCAAACGCTGCGCATCCATGCGCAGTGCTTTTCAGCTGTCCAGGCATCACAGCTTAAGGTTTTCTTACACGCACGCACAGCAAACCTAGTCACCGAACCGATGGTAACACCGGTTGAATCCCACCCCTGTTTGGGACATGTTCCATGCTTATGCCATGATGTCCCACAGAGTATTATGATGTTGAGAAATATGCATCATATTGGCATTCAGATTATTCAGCATGAGATCCTCTTGCCTAGTATGCAAACCAATATCAGATACTTTTAATTTGAACTTTTTCATCTGTTAGATATCTCTATCCCTTTTGGGCAGGTTTCTGATGTAACAAAAGTGAACAAATGTAAATATAAAAATTCATTGCCATTAGTTCCAGAGATAATTAAATACAACATACAGTAAGTAATATCCTGTTAATACAGGAACATATAGGTTGGAAAGGGTATAAAGTTCATTCCCTGAGATTGAAGTATTATGTTGAAATGCAGGGTTTGTCAACATCAAAGTGGGGTAGAATTATAAATCCAGGATCCAAAAATTACTGTTATACTTTCCAGTGGCTCAGATTTATCTATTTATTTTATAGTTTTATCTCTTTATCCTGTTATTTCATTAGTTGTTTTTTTCTCATTTCCAAGGTAACTGTAGTATCAGAGGTCTAGCCAGGTTATTTGCATCATTTTTGAGGTCATTCAGCCACAGTTTTATGTATCCCTGCCTTTGTCTTTTTCCCTAGGCCTTCCCAACTGAACATTTTCCCTAATCTCCAGAATCCATATTTAAAAACCAATCTTATCAACAATTCTTTTTTCTTCTAGGAAACAAGTCTGACCTAAGTGACCTTCGGGAGGTTCAACTAGAAGAGGCTCAGAACCTGGCTGAACACTATGATATCATCTGTGCCATAGAGACTTCTGCAAAGGACTCCAGCAATGTAGAGGAAGCTTTTGTCAAGATGGCCACAGAGCTCATGATGAGACATGGAGGCCCTGTGTTCAGTGAGAAAAACACAGACAGCATCAAACTTGACAGCAAGGATGTCGTAGAAGGGTGGGGGTGTGGCTGCTGATAATTCAATTGGTCTCATTGTTACTGGAATGTAGAGGATACATTCTCTTCTCCTTCACTCTGGGTCTCTTCTATACATAGACACTTTGCACAAGCTTTGTGTTTTGTAAGTTAAGGGATTAACATTTGCAGCATGTTTTTAATAATGAAGGAACTTCCTTGTGTAAAACTGAAACTGTGTGGCAGTCATTCCGTAGCAATTTCTACTAGATTTTTTTTTTAGAGGAGTTAGTGCAATTTGGCAATAAGTTGCACAGAATGACGCTACTAAAATATCTTCATAGAAAATAGTCTGAGTGAAAACTGTTATTTTACTACCGGTATTCACTGAAATCTCGGTAGGGGACTTTTATCAACTTGGATGACATTTAATGCTTTTATGACAGCAGGTTTTCAGGGTGCCTGTTTAAACTCTCCACATTCCGGGGGGGGGGGGGGAGTATTTAAACCTACACAGGGTGACATAAATTTTGTAGGGATATTTAAAGTATGAAATATTCAATTTTCTACATAGGATATAGCAGCTGAACCTCCTAAATTATAAAATTGTGCTTTCCTGGATACTAATATTGCTGGTAAAAGACATGCAAAACAAGCGTTTTTCCTCTCTTGGTTTTTTTTTTTTCAAATGGAAAAAGCAGTAGATACAACACTGAGCAATTGTAGAATACATAGAGGTTTGGTTTTGTTTTGTTTCATATTCACCTCAGAAGACTTGATCTTGAACACATTTCATTGTATATTCCACGGGTTTCAGTGGAACTTTCTTGGAAGTAAATGCCTTTGAAAATGTATAGGGCTTTATTTTAAATAGGCTGAAAATTATAAGTAAAGATAGATTTAATAGTTAATTTTGCACAATTGATATAGATTCCTTTGTTGATACTATAGATTGGTGATTCTCATCTTCATTAATTTCAGTATGTTTAGCATACTTCAGATAAGCAGTTTATTTGAATACCTTTCCCTTCAATCCTAACTTCTTTCATTACTATTGAGATATTACAAATTATTCCAGCTAGAGGATCCCCCCCCCCCCAATTTTTCGGTATTTTCAACAATTATCGAGTTGCTCTTTTTTAACTTTCTCTGATCAGTGATATTAAGTTGTTGAATAAATAGTAAATGTTGAATTATGTGCAGGAGATAATTGATCATTTTTCTAAACTGACCGCTCATGGTACAGAGTTCTAAAAATCATCAAACAGTTGCTTTAGTTTATAAGACAATGGCTCAGGAATTCTCATTATAAGGCATATTTGCTAATTTTATAAGATACTTCTTTTATATCATAGGCCTTGGGTTTCCCACTGTTAGCTCCTTACCCATTCCTTCTGCCCCTGATTTCTTCCATTATGCTACAACACAATCTTTAAATCAGCTTCACATTATTTTTTCAGGACAAATCAATAGCATATGCTGTAGAAAAAGTCTGCTATTAGTCAAAAACTGCTGAATTATTTTGACTTTGTTAATTTAAGATAAATATCCTTGTTTACATTGGCTAGTGATTTAAAAGTGCAGATATTATTGACAATTGCCTTTTTAGAGCACCTTAAACTGGGAAATGAAGAATAATTATAATGACTGCAAATCTTCCAAGCAACTTTTCAGTGTCCAACATTATTTCTAATGGGCCCTATGCGCCTGTCTGAGAATCAACGATTTTGAATGAAATCCTTGCAGTCAGTTATATTAAAACGGGTTTGATATAATTGTACTATTATGGCCATGAATACCTCCCTCAATACCCATAGGCTTTCTAACCCATCTGTGTTTGTTTTTTTAAATTCTTACGTTTAAAAGATCAAATGTGAAACTAACATAATATGCTCTCAAACTTGTGAATATGCCCAATATATTTCTCTAATCTATTTTAGGAAAATACTTAGCGTTGATTGGAAACTATCAGTTAAGTTAGCAGAGATTAGGATAACACTAGTTTGAGAGAGATCAATATGAGAAAGTTAACATTTGAACTTGTTTAAATTTTTGCAGTATAAAGTGTCTAGCTGTATAATTTACCTTGCTACTCGAATTTTGATTCCAGTGATTATCCTGATGAATGTTTTTATTGCAATTTCAGAATAGTAGCTTTAAAGTTGAATGTTTTGTAAGGTGTAGAAGAAAGGGGCCTTAATTTCAGTTAGATGTAGTTTTATAATTATGTTTCCATAGAAAGAAAATAATGCCTGAGATATGCTGCTTCTAAATACTATTTTATACCAGATTTCTTCAGGTTTATTGTATCCAGCCTTTGATTCCTAAGCAGTAACTAACAATGATTATTAACAGAACATTGGCATTAAACAGAAGTGGTTGATTTTGTACTGTGAATCCAATATTTTAAGAATATTACGTAATTTCAGTTTCTTCAGCTGAGTCCATGAAAATGAAAGAAAAAAAATGAAACTGAATAGTCTCTGCATGGTTGATTGAACCAAGCACAGATCCTAAGTTCATCTCTTCATATAGTATCTTTTATATTAGACATCCATACACTTTTCAAGCCATAGGTAACCCCTTTCCAAAATGCTGAGGTTTTGGCAAAATCCTGCATAAGGAACTTGATGGGTTCTACCTTTTAATCATTTCTGTATTAGAGACAGCAGTTTAAGAATAGTCCCTGCATCTCTTATACATATGTAGAAGGACAAGTTTGATTCTCCAAGAGTTAGATGAGAGAGTATACCCAACTCAGTAAATAAAGACAAAAGAGCTATATCAGTTCTATTTCCAGTTATTAAAACATCAAAACAAATTTAAATCAATTTCTTTTAAAATAAAATGCAGCCTAAAATTTGATATCATTCATAATTTGCATTCTTAAGAATATTTATTTCCCGGAAGGGGGAGACCTGTGGGGTTTCAGCATAGCAAGATCATCAGAAAGTATAAAAAAGAATCCACAAAACAAATAGATACTTTGACAAAAACTGACTGATTACCAAAGAGGGAAATTCAAACTGACCAATATCTGTGATGATATAACCATGTTTATTTGGTGAATCCTGCACTTACTAGATTAATATCAGTCTGACTCCAGGTGGGAAAGAACTCAGTCTTGGGTGGACGATTTAATGGACATATTGGTTTAGAAATGGCGAGTTCTTTCTTCACTGTGGCAGAAAGGCAGAAAAGCTTTGCTTGCTAGGGGCTGCAAAGACCTCGGTCCAACAATGATCTAAGGAATAGATGCTATTGTATTTCAGGCCAATCTGATATAATGGTGTGCCAATAATGATTTTTTAAAAAAAGGATTCTGTGAACAGATGTCTTTTTTTTGGGGGGGGGGGGGGTTGTTGCATTATTTATATAAATATGTTCAAGTGTTATGTGAGCAGACTCCTTTCATACGGGTTTTGTAGGACTATCGTTCGGTATACATTCCCAAAAGCAACTGAGAGCACACAGTTGCTTCAGAATTAACTTGCTGCTTCATATTGCTAATACAGATTTTAGCAGCTAAGATTCTTTAGTGTTTTATAATGTGATATAAACTGCTTATTTATTCCCAGATTGGAAGGCAATAGCTTTGCTCAAATTGATTTTTATGAGCTGTTACGTTGGGGTTGCATAGTACTGACATGGTAGATCTTTCTCCATACATACTGCACTTCAGTAATTATTATACAATAATTGCTTCAATTGTTCATTGCAAGCACAAGAAAATTAAATTCCAGATTTTAGAGAATGTTACAAATCTCTCTTGTATTACTTCTATTGAATTTCTGGTAAAAGTACAAACTGATAACAGTGCAAGATTGTCTGGCCCCCTGCAAACTTTCTGTATTTTTCAGATTTTTGTGAAGAAGATGGCAATGATATTGCAAATTCCAATTAAAAGTTAATCTGCTGGGTCCCCCTTTATGTGAGGAATTAAACAGGATGCCTTTTCAAGGGGTAAGGCTATACATATGGATTAATTACAATCTTCTCCTGGGAAAGGTAGAAGGAAAAAGACAATCATTTTCATGCAATGACAAATAAGAACTTAAGTAGTGTACAGTGTAGCAGCCTTAGGGGTATCTTCAGTGGAAATACTGGAGAATGAACCTATGAGAGGGAGAGGCTTGGAACATAAATTTTAAAAGACGAAATTGTCAAAATATTTAGGAATCCCATTATCAGCAAGAAGAATTCAGTCAACGGCATTGGTTTTCTTTAGTCTTTTGAGTAGAATGGAAGTATTGCATGGAGAAATCTGTTTGGAAAAGAGTCGTATTTCAAATAGATTTTTCCAGTAAAATATAAAAATAGTTGTATATCATAAGGAGTGGGAAACATTTATTTATTTGCAGCAAAAATATGAATTTAAACTCCATGCCTGTTTCTTTAAAGACTCAGGGCTCTTCACAGCACTTTTATATGCTGGAGTGTTGATCATTTTTTTACTGTTCCAGTAATGCTAAAAAAATATCATTGTTTTGTCATATGGATGGATAATACAGCAAAACAAAGAAAATTGGCCTTTAATCATAATGTAGATGATCTGTAGAATTAATTATGTTTATAAAGATTCATTATTTTGTCTAAATCTGTTTTTAATGTAATATTATAATATAACTGCAAATTAAGAGTAACACAGTTGTTTGTTCCGATATAAATACTACCTATTTACATTCCAAATATACAGGTACACACAAACACATTGGTGTGTGCATACATACACTCACACACTCACACACACCCCTTATATTTATATTTATCTGGCAATGTCTGGCATAAAATAATGTGCAAGTTTCAGGTACATGCTGTAAAATGAAGCATATGAAACATGCCAGATTCAGTTTGAGATATTAAATGTCTAATTCTTTTACATAAAACTACTCTTAGATTTTTAAGCATTTCAGATGGACTACGTTTCTTACACAGATAGAAATTTATGGTCTATTTTTTGCATAAAACGCAGGGGAATATGCTACAGAAATATGCTTGTAATTAGTATTACATATGTATCATGCAGTTTAGAACAGGTAGCTTTTTGTGACAGTTTGAAAAATAAAGTACACTAAATTATGTCTAAAATTGGTTCCAGCTTTTCCAAAATAATACCTTTGAAGTCTTAGGATAGAAATGTACAGACACAATTTTATGGCTTTAAGTAAAAATTTTCTAACAATCTGAATACTAGGGAAATTCTTTAACACAACTGCTAAGAGAATTGAAAATTATATAGTATATACCTAGGTTGTTCAAGACTTTAAATGTTATTTATAATTAATGCTTTCATTTTCAATATACTATGATTGATTGGCAGATTAGGTGCCCCATTCAATTCGTGTTGACTCTTTGTGACCAAATGGATAGATCTTCCCTGGGTCTCCAACCTAGCCTTTCAGGACTTCCAACTCTGTAACTCTTGCTGAGTCAATTCACCTTGCCATCATCTGTCTCCTTGTTCCTTTCACCTTTACCACAATTATGGACT